ATATGTAAAATTGGTCAATTAGCAAGAACTCATTTAAAATTAAGTCCTTTCTAAAATTTTCTTTTATGCATTTAAAGATATATATTTTTCATTAATGATAATGTAAAAATTTAAAATTTTGCACCAAAAGGATCTTAGAAAACTTACCTAACCTTATTATAACAAGAACAATTTATTTTAGCCTAACTCAACTAAATATATTTTAAATACGTTTACAATAATTTAATACTAAACAAACACAGTGAAATATATTTTTTTCGTTAGGTTCAGAATGATATTGGCGAAATTATTGCATACACAAATTTTCATTGTCCTATATGGCAAGATGAGCGTTGCTATTTAAGCCAAGATCGCAAGTTCTGCCTATTCGGCACGACATATATATATATATATATATATATATATATATATATATATATATATATATATATATATATATATCGCAGTGTTGCTATTGATAAATACCACTCGTTCGTGGTTTCAATATGATCTATACTGCTGCTGGGTTAGAGCATCATGTGGTTTTCGCTCACCATGAGGCGGGTCAGAATAACATTGGTCCGAGTCCTTGGCTAGTCGAAGTGTTGTTATATATATATATATATATATATATATATATATATATATATATATATATATATATATATATATATATAGTGTTCAACTGTAGCGACTATAATAATAATGATAATATTAAAATAATAAAAATAATATCTTTATTTCCACATGTACATGTACAAGGTATACAGGCCTGGCTGACACCAGTGATATATCTAAATGGAAAGCCGCTTGTTATGCAGAGTATCTCTGACAAATTAGGTAAATTTTGTCCCTAGGATGCGACCCACACCAGTCGACTAACACCCAGGTACCTATTTTGCTGATGGGGAAACAGGGACGGCAGGTGTCTTATGGAAACACGTCCTAATGTTTTCCAGCCGTACCAGAGAAAGCTTTATTTCGTTATTCTTGAAAGTGCACTCCGTTCGATGGTAATATAACCAGGAATTTTGCCACCAACCTTTCTACCACCTTGTGCATTCTCTTATTTATCGTTCATGACTCCCTGTCTATTAAATATTCATTTCATGTTGGATACCCAGGACTGGTATAGAAATGACTTCCTAAACACCTTAGACACTGAGCGAGTCATAACAACGTCTCGTCAGTAGACATTTTTCCTCTCTAAGAAAAAATCCATCAGCCACATCCACCGTTCATATATAGTAGAAATGAAGCGAACAGAGTTTGCTGTGCGCCAGTCAATTGGCCATGGACAACAGGAAGAGGTTGTTCTTTTGAGTGGGTGTTAGTTACACCTGACTAGCATGGGCCAGTGGGCCTGAAGCAGTGCGACTTCCTTCTTGAGTGGGTGTGACGGACCTGCCTAGCGTGGGCCAACAGACCTGCTGAAGTTTTCTTCTTTCTTACGTTGTCACCATCTACCTAGGTCACTTGCTGAAGCTTCCTCTGGAGTGCACCAGGGTGGAGGTAGTGCGGGCGGAGAGGAGACTGCTCCTGGTGGTGCGACGCAGCTGTGGTCTGACAGAACCATGAGGCAGTACTAGGATGCCTCCAAACTTGTCAAAAATGACGCTTCCCGGATGCTCGCAAAACTGACCTGAATGATGAAGGTTGACCGAATTCCCGGGTGTAGATGACACAGGGTCTTGGGTTAACACAGATAGGAAATCTCTCCAGTACTTCCGAGCACTGCGTTCTCGATATACATGGAATATGAAAAGGAAAAATCCTTGTAAAGTGTTGAAAATACAAAAGAGATAAGAAAACACAATTCGAGCTTCAGAGACGGCCAACAGTCCAAATATCCAGGTGAATCCAAGCAGAAAAAAAACACAAACTGCCATTCTGAACTGGTTCATGAAAAGGGTTCTCTCCGGCATGGTAGAGGTGACTCGGGCTCGACCACACACTGCCCCATGGATGATCATACTGAAGATGATTAAGTTGATTATCATTGTCGCCACCAGAGGAGGTAAAAATGAATATTTAAAACAGTCAACAGACATCCAACATATCTTTCCACTGGTATATTCTTCCTTGCTGTCGTATAAAGTTGGGTCGTAAACTAGCACTAACAGGATAGGCAAAAGAGGGATGCCCCAGGCACAAACCGAGGCTTTCCATAGGAATCTGGGAATGTATGTGCCAACAACCTTAACAAACTTCAGATACTGATGAACAGCCTCCACCAGCATCCAGGCGAAGGAGGCGAGAAGGAAGTAATGGAGTCCGACAGCAACTCCCCGACACAGAATGTCGTTCCAGGTCTGTTTGATGCCCGCCAAGAAAATGACAACACTGCAGAACACAGAAAAGGACAAGTTAACCAGAATCTTGTTGCTCAAAGATCGTCTCCACTTCTTAAACAGAAAAAAGGTTGTAAATACAAGAAGAAGCCCAATAATGGACAAGCAGCATCCGATAATTGTTATTATGTCAAGGGCTAAGGCGTGAGTATTTTCGAAATCTTTGTTCTTATCATAATTTATAAGCTGAGCAAAAGAAGTAAGGTGGTAGCAGAGGCAGACATGGTGGACACCTACACGTCCTCCTGTCTTACAGCCTTCCTCAGACCATCCTCCTCGCATCTCATTCTTGTTGAAGTCCCAGAAGACGCACTTAGTATCATTACCATCCAGATACGGTTTAAAGTAAATTTTTATTGGGTACTGCAAATCTCTAACTATTTCCCTTTTAAATGAAGCTTGAATAATGTGACTATTAACAGTATAGTTAGTGAGAGACGCATTATCTTTAAACAGCTTTTCATTCCTATAAACAGCAAAGGTTAACGGGACCTTTTCTTCTCCAAAATCACCGTGTCTTGCTTCTCTTGCTGAACTGGAAGCAATGGTATAGGTAAGGTTGCTAGGGAGTATGATGGCAGCCTCAGCGTCGCTCAGGTCTGATGACGAGACACCCTTCTCGAGCGTTTCCACCCGCTTCTCACCCTTTTCCTCTTCCCGAGATTTAAACCCAACGATCGTTGAGTTCACTTCCAAATCCAGACGCTCAACAGAGATAAACTTCCTTGAAGAGTTCTTTTTCTGGTCACCTTTTCTACTTGGAAGTTCCACTTGGAAAGTTAAGTCTTCGAAAGCTTTCAAGAGAGTACAAGAAGAATTCAGTTTCAACTGTACAGGCTGAATGGCCGTAGAATTTGCACCCATGATATTATTAATGGTCTCCACTATATCATCCAAATCAAGTCTAGCGCTTTCATCTTTAGAAAACGATTCAAAAGTTTTAGCTATAAAATGTATATCAATGGGCTGTAGCCACGAACTATTAGTAGTAAGTTCTGCCAGTGTGCTAGGAGAGGAAACAGATGGTCTCTTTAGATAGCTCTTTGGGTCATTGTTGATTTTCCAGAGTTTTCTAGTTAATTCTGAAGGTTTTCCTGTACAGTTACCAGCAACGCCCCAGTAGTAGCCTTCCAAAAAATCTCCCAAACATTCTCTTGTGACCGGCTCACCCTCATGTGTAATGCAGAGTTCGTTAGGTATTACAATAGCGTTTCCCCGTGTCGCTTTCCACGTAAGATTTCTATCGGAATAGTTACCATAGTTATATGTGGTGTCTTCAGGACAGCCGACCGTGCTCCGAATATCTCTGAAAGTGCAGTCTGAGAACTGTTCCCCAATGAGAAGTGTGTTACTGAGATTCTTAAAAAGTTGGCTTTCTTTTATATTTGAAACACTTTCCTTCACTTCGCATTCTAAATGAAAGTTATGCAACAATTTGTTGTCTGTTAGTTCATGATGATAAAAAAAGTTCCTGGAACTGAACCTTAAACTGTTAGCAAGCCTACTGCTCCTCAGGCTGGCCATGAATATATCAGTGCAACTGTCTGTCGATCTCAAACGCTTTTGTGTTATCATGAATGTGCTATCGTGTTGCTCTGGATCGTATTCTTTCTCCTGCGAAAGTATTACAACAAAAGTAATTTTTCCGTGATCTCTGTGAAGGAAAATGTTGGAGGTTGCGAGCGCGAGCGGTGGGTGTGTCCAGGCCAAACACTGGTAGTAACCCTGTCTATTCACCTTCAGTTCATACTGGCAGTCTTGGTCCTCTGTGTGTTCGTGCTTTGTGTATTCACCGTTGACATAACAGCGGATATCCTTATCATACTTGTCTATCAACATTTGTTTAGGGTCCACGTCGATGCACATCGTTTGTGAAACTTCATTGTCTGGTTCATGTATTTGCAGACGCATAAGTTTATTAGAAGATAGTATTTGCTGACATAATATGTTTTGCTTAGTTATTTCTTCACCCTCGAGGATCCACCCATCCTGGGTCAGTGTGCCATACTTCTTAGTGTAGTCCGTCTCTGCCAACCAGTTGATGGTGTCTACAGATCCATTGTAAAGTAATCTTTCGTGGATCCACTTCACCCCCATCCAGACGTCATTAACATTATGTATTTTAAGGTGTTTGCGATATATCAAGTCCATGAACCCTACGTTAGGGGATGGCAACTGAGCTCCTCTCTCATCACAAAAATCGTTAGCTTCAGGCCAAGTGAGATTCCCCTGATTCATAAAAAGTTTAAAGCAAATTTCATTGTCTCTCTCGAGCCTGGTTATGTTCCACCCGGTAAGGCACGAACCACTGCTCGTTGACTCCAGCGATAAATCATTAATATCTATAATTGTCAGAAATGAAAGATGTGCGTTACAGTCAGAAGTTTCGAGCTGGTTTGTTCCCATGTTCATCGCCAAGCAGTCATCATGGATGCGTGGGTGTTGTGTAGCCCACGATATATTGTATTTGTAGTACTGGCTAATCCAGTTACGGTAACTATGCTTAGACTGGTGTGGACCCATGTAGATCAGCGGACTTAGTCTTCGCAATCTTTTAAATGGTAGCCAAATTTTTCTGTTTTCAACCAGCTGTTTGATCACATCGTACACAGATGAATCGCTTTTCTTCATATAAAGTATACTTTCTTCCTGACCTGTAACGAAGCTGGTTCGGAACCCATCCGTCCAACTGTCCGGCGTTGACACAGCTACACACCTGTTTTGGATTTCAGTGGAACTCCGTGGACACCGGTCCTGCCACTCACATAAAGAGGGATCAAATTCGAGTTGTGCTCCATGAAGATAATCCCACACGCACCGTCCCGGAGAAAGCTTGTTGTACTTTACTTTACACTTGTAGTTTTGAGGGTGAACGTCTCCTGCTTGGACAGTCGGCCATTTTAAGTCCTGCTGAGAACCAAAAGATTTTGTCTCGCCTATGCAAAGCGTTGGAAAGACAATATTTGAAGAAGATAAAAAACCACTCTCAATAAACTTTTCTTTATAGGTCGGAATACTTAGCTTAAAATTACGTATGTCTGTTGCAAGAAATGGAAGCAGGTCTTGTCTGGGCACGTGAAGATGAAAGCTGTAATTTGCCAGTATGTGTGCTGCCTGTGTCACTTTCTCAACGGAGATGACATCCAGGGTGTAAGTGGAAATGTTTGCGAATTGTTGACGGAAAGATTTACGCAATAGCCACTTCGTCGCATTTACGGTACTCCCGGGTAAGGACTCATTGATATGGGCGTTGAAGATAAACACCAGCCTATCTTCCAGTGTCACCAAAACCTTATTACTTGCAAGGCGCGTAGGTACATTGGGCACCCAGGCTTCACACCAGTATGTGCCCTGGTTGATGAACAAGGGCGGCACCTCTTTCATTCCCGGCAGGAGAGTGGCAGTGTCGGACTTGGTAGCGTCGTGGATGATGGCCGGCATCATATTCTCGACGCAGTGGTTCATGTACACCAGATCCTGCCAAGACACCAAAATCATTAATTACATTTTAGTTAGTTTAAAGTTTTCAACTATGCTTCGATTAATTTAAAATTAATGTACTTGGGGTAATATTACACTGTCATACGTGTTTCAGTTAGCTTATCATTATTGTGAATGCTACTAAATGTTAGTTTCCTATAACATGTCTTAGATGATAGAGGAAACAATAAACATTAGTATCCTGTTCTTGCATCAACAATATTAATAAAAAATTCCTAATAATGTTAATAATAATTATGATAAATATAATAATAATAATAATAATAATAATAATAATAATAATAATAATAATAATTAATAATAATAATAATAATAATAACAATTAATAATAATAATAATAATAATAATAATAATAATAATAATAATAATAATAATAATGAAGCTAATAATAATAATAATAATAATAATAATAATAATAATAATAATAATAATAATAATAATAATATAATAATAATAATAATGAAGCTATATAATAATAATAATAATAATAATAATAATAATAAATAATATAATAATAATAATTAATAATAATAATAATAATAATAATAATAATAATAATAATAATAATAATAATAATAAAATATAATAATGAAGCTAATAATAATAATAATAATAATAATAATAATAATAATAATAATAATAATAATAAAGCTAATAATAATAATAATTAATAATAATAATAATAATAATAATACACGGATATATTCACGAACTGGTGTATGTCTTTTAACATAACGGAAAAACAAGACAACCTCCACAGACAGAAGGGACCCAATATCCAATTAAAGATGCCATACGGCGAGGGATTAGTAATGATGTTGAGAGGACGAAGGAGGAGTTGTTGAGATGCTTTTGGGTATTTAGAGAGGTTATAGCTTAATAGGATGACCAAGAGGGTGTATAACTTCAAGGTGGAAGGGAGAACGAGTAGGTTCGTACCAAGAAGGGTTAGAGGAATGATATGTAGGAGGTATTAAGTTGTAGGGGCTTAAACACCACATGTGAGTTTGAAAGACCGGGGTAGAGATAAGTGGTTTTAAGGACATTTAAAAGTGATTCGGGAAAGCGGGTAACCATACTTGAGTCCTGGAGGTAGACGGTATAGTTCCTTCACTTTGGAGGACAGGGGCTGTTGCCGTTCAAAGAACTATTTCAATTGCGTTATCTTTGAACTTCTGAAAAGGTAATTTGTAAATTTTTTTTTTTCTTTTTAAGGTCATCCTACCTTGGTGGGAGACGGTCGATGCGGTGAAAAGAAAGCGATATATTGAATCAAAGTTACAGTTTGAATTATAAATTAACTCATTCTGAAATATTAGTAAGAAGAGTGTGTTGAATAACTAACACCTGATGTTAGTAAATTATCTCTAGAAATCATAAGTACTTGTTGCTCAACCCGTCCTTTTAACCTCAGATATCAAGTCACTGTTGTAAATATAGTCGAATGGGTGAATGTTAAAGGCGTCTTACAATACAATCTTTGCACTGCTGACCTCGCCTATGGCAAGACACAGTTGCTCTGCTCACACTGAAGAAGTATCCCTTCGATCACAGTCGGAGAGGGAAATTCTCTAGTCTACTCTTCCACGATATCACATCGTGTGAAGATCAAACCCACAAGCTCATGTTCCATAGTAAACAATCCCTCGAAGCTTACTCTTGCAACTGCCCTTAAAAAGCAACCTATAGGTCATGTTCTCCGGCATCATGTCACTCAAAGGCGCCTTCCTAGTCGCTTACACCGACGAGGAGGCCGAAAAGTCCTCACTCCTATTGCTGTCAAGACTCGCAATCTTGGCTTTGTTATCTCCAACTCTCCTTAAAAGCAAAACGATCTGTGTTCCTGAAACGACTTGACAGGATAGTCACGGCCCTCTTTAACGAAGAACTCAAGTCATCCATTGAAGACCAGAATGCCTGGGCCTCGATAGACACCATCACGAAGATACCCAACGCCGCCTCCATGATTAAGGCCACCTGTACGGACATCGCTATGGCTGCCCAAGCTCTATCTGACGGACTTGCCATTTCATACTACTATATTAACCCTAATCATATCGAGCCTGAACGCTTTAAACATATTTCTGAGTTGAACCTGATATTCCTACAACCACACCACCAAGGAATGCCATATCAAGGACAAAAAAATTGTTCTACTTGCGGGAATGATGGACATGACTACAGATCCTGCATCACCACTACTGCTCCTGCTTGCCCTAACTGCAAGAATAATCACCATATTCTTGCTGCTAAATGTCATGTAAGAAAGAAAATCTTATCCAAGGAGATAGAAGAAGACCTGAGGAAGACCACAGTTAATTCATTAACATATGCTGCTATAACGAAACTACAGACTGACACCACCAAGATTCTGCAGGCAACACGACAGACGCCTCCACTCAACAACTCTCTCTCCACTTCCTAAGGAAGTTCCTTCGAAAATTTACTATCGCATGATGTTTGCTCACATGCAAAATGTAACACAACCTAGATCCTTCAAAACAAATATCAATGAACTTTTCAGGCCCAACATCATACTAAGTTTTACCTTCCCTGATTCTCCACCTTCAGCTGATATACTCAAGATTACTCCAAAAAATCAACTTATCAGTACCTGGAGACATGATTACAGAACCAGAACCTGATAACTGCACTTGATCAGAACCACCTGCAGCCAGTGACAAGATTCCTGCAAATCTCACTGATGATGACGTGCCACAGCTGTTGACCAATACACATCTATCCAAGGAAGAAGAAAATGAACAAATGGAAGAAGAAAAAGAAGACAGAACTTGGGAAAATATAGCCTTCTACACAACTGAACCATAGAGCAAGACAATGCATTGGGAGGAAGTGATCTCTCAACTTCCACAAGGAACTATCAAGTTTACCATCACTTCTGAAAACTTCATTACACTTCAAGAAACAATTTTATACCTTTGAACGCTTAAAAACGACCCCAATAACAGCCCATATTACAGAGTAGAGCATATGGTCGGAGAAGTGGCTAATATACTATAGCCAGGTGAGTCGAAGCGGAAGGAAGCGGAACCACAGGTGTGTCTACAAGATTCATTGTAAAATATGTGATTAAGTTTATTACGGTCGAACTGGAAAAAGTCTTGAACTAAGATTACAGCAACATAAATGTAGCATTAGAAGTGGACAAGATTCTAATGCTGTGTTTATTTATGTGAGAGATTTTTAACCATCCAATTGACTTCCAAAAGGATGAGAAAGTTATATCTAGCAGGTTCATGGTCGAGAGAAATATAGAATAATGTTTCACAAAAAAATTTTTTGAAAATAATATGAATATTGCTTTAGGAATATACAAATTGGACTCATTTTTAATTAATAAAATTTGGGAAGATTTTAAAATACATTAGACAAGTAAAATCTTAAAGCTTGGGTAGAATGTAAACTGTGTTTGACAGATCCTTGACTACCTACGTACCTACCCGTACCTACCTACCTACCTACCTACCTACCTTATCGTAAAAAAGTCAGGTGTTGTAAGGCTACCGCGAGGTGTACTTGTATCCTTATATTCCTTCCTGTTGTTTATTTAATGTAAATATATACGTATATATATATATATATATATATATATTATATATATATATATATATATATATATATATATATATATATATATATATATATATATATATAATATATATATATTTCGTGCCGAACAAGTAAAACTGGTCAGTTAGCAAGAACTCATTTAAAATTAAGTCCTTGTTAAAATTTTCTCTTATACATTTAGAGATATATATTTTTCATTTATGTTAATATAAAAATTAATGATTTTGTACCATAAGAACCTTAGGAAGCTTACCTAACCTTATTATAACAAGCGCAATTTAATTTAGCTTAATCCAACTAAATATATTGTATATAAGTTTACAATAATGGTAAACAAACACAATGAAATATATTTTTTTTCGTTAGAGTCAGAATGATTTTTGCGAAATTATTGCATTCACAAATTTTCGCTTGCCTTATTCGGCAAGAAGAGCGTTGCTATTTAAGCCAAAATAGCAAGTTTTACCTATTCGGCACGACATTATATATATATATATATATATATATATATATATATATATATATATATATATATATATATATATATATATATATATATATATATATATATATATATTTTATATATATATATATATATATATATATATATATATATATTTATATATATATATTTATATATATATATATATATATATATATATATATATATATATATATATATATATATATATATATATATATATATATATTATATATATATATATATAATATTATATATATATATATATTTATATATATATATATATATATATATATATATATATATATATATATATATATATATATATATATATTATATATATATATATATATATATATAACAAAATCTTAAGATTATCCTTGAATACATTTTACTTACTTCTCCGAGGCTGTGTCCCCTTTGCACCACTTGATACAAATGTATTTCATTAATTTATTCACGGACACCATACTTAGAGGACTATGACTTGGAATTAACAAGCATTATCATTTAGCAGCTATCATTTAGAACTTATTTGCCGCACACTGTGGCTATGCCTAATAGCTAAAACAAATCACCTTCCTCCAGAAGACTCTTGGTTGTGAGTGCAAACGTTTTCCTGTTGTCCTGTTGTAGGCGGTGCAGGCCAGAGTGAGGTCTTGGAACTGAGAGGTAGTGAGAGAGAGCCACCCATAGCTGCCCGCCCCAGCACTGGTCTCCACACGCAGCTCTACCTCTTCACCATATCTTTCGTCCTGCTTACCTGAGGAGATGTATGGTTTATCTATCTATCAGTCTCTCAAATGATCATAACATCTATCCGATCAATACAAAAATGAATAAAATAACTCCCGTATACACAATTAGTAATTATATCATTCAGTTTATCGGTATAATTTTTATTCAAAAATTAAAAAGAGCTATGCAAGTAGTTTTTAAAACAAGTGAAAAATATAAAAATGTAATATATGGTTCGTCCAGATGGTATTCCAGGTGCCATAGAAACCAAGATGGATTACGGAACTCTTGGCTCCTGAATTAACAGAACCTCAGCTGAATGTATTGATAAATATTTAATATGACTAGAGTTTTCTGCCTTGTTTCCTGTGCTTACATATTGTTAGGTAAAAGGACATAGATGCAAGTAATGTGACATTTTATTGTGGCAACGTTTCGCTCTCCAGGAGGTTTGTCAAATCGTTCAAAAGATCCAATGACACAAAAGGTATATATAAATAGACACCGCGTGAGGTAGGTAGGTTGATAGTAGTAGTTGCAGTAGTAGTAGTAATGTTAGTAGTAGTAGTAGTAGTAATAGTAGTAGTAGTAGTATAGGTGGAGGTAATTCTAGGTTGCTATATGATGGTAAGGTTTATTTTTTTAGTAGGATTCAGGCTAATGCCCCCCGAAAGGTAATTAAAGATGACTTTGTACATTTACGATCGTCTCTGAATCTCATAGATGGTTGGAGGAGTTTCTGTGCTCCACACAAGTTGTTCAAGTTGTCGTTTCTGCATGTACTTACTGTTTCACCGACGTATACCTTGTCACAACCGCAATGGGTTGTGTAAACACCCGCATTGACTGGTTCAAGGTTTTTGACTTTGGTCCAGGTCAGGTCGTTGATGGATGTACTGGGTGTAATGGAGACTGTAGTGTTGGTTTATGAAAGTACTTTGGAGACGTTTAATGCAACTTGACAGTTGGGAAGGGTTATCACTGGTTTTGAAACACTGGATTAGATTAATTTCTGGATTTTAAATCCAGTATTTCCATACTTCTTTCTTAAAGTAACATGATGTATTAAACTGATTTACATGTTACAAAAGCTATATGCTACCTTAATAAAATATAATGATCTTATCCGGGAAATAAACTGCATACGACAATGAGCAATCTGCTCGTCAGTTAAGTTTGCAATTGCAACCGAACTGTCCTTCGTTCATAACTGCCCCATCCACCTCTCAAAGAATACTCCACGATGCCGATGAGGGGCTTATGATCTTGATATAAGCTTGAATGCCTTTCATTCCAATAGGCGCTGTTTGACCTCTATTGCCTTAGCGCTTTTTCCATGAATATAATAATAATTTGCCCTCTCAAACATACTAAAGTATTACGAACACAGGTGTAGTTTAGGCCTGCACACCTGGCTGTAGCAAAATAACCACTTAGGAATGAGCAATGAGGCAGCAGAGAGAGCAATTGTCTGTATTTCTTACACCAAAAAATAAGCTGGCATTTACAATATATATATATATATATATTATATATATAAACACTGATCTCTGGCTGAAGGAGACTCGAACCTACGAACCTTAGGACAAGGTACGCAGTGCTTTACCAATCTACCCACACTGGACCAATACCTTGGCGTGTAGCATGAGCTACACGTTTTGATCCAAGGCAGCCAGCTTTCAGGGAGAAGGCTTACAGCTTTTCATCTCATCCCCTGCATGCATCAGCCTTACTAGAGATTTCGCATGCTCTCGCGAATTCCTTGCATATATATATATATATATATATATATATATATATATATATATATATATATATATATATATATATATATATATATATATATATATATATATATATGCAAAACAACCACTCTGAAAGAATAGAGAAATTCCAAGCGCTTTCGTGACTACTCACATTGATAATGTGAGTAGTCACGAAAGAGCTTGGAATTTCTCTATTCTTTCAGAGTGGTTGTTTTGCATATTCTGAAATCACCTGTTTACTGTGATCTTATTGCATATATATATATATATATATATATATATATATATATATATATATATATATATATATATATATATTTCGTGCCGAATAGGTAAAACTTGCTATTTTGGCATAAATAGCAACGCTCTTCTTGCCGAATAAGGCAAGCGAAAATTTGAGTATGCAATAATTTTGCAAAAAAATCATTCTGAACCTAACGAAAAAAATATATTTCATTGTGTTTGTTTATTATTAAATTATTATAAACTTATCTAAAATATATTTAGTTGGATTAGGCTAAATTAAACTGCGCTTGTTATAATAACCTTAGGTAAGTTTTCTAAGGTTCTTTTGGTACAAAATTATTAATTTTTACACTAACATAAATTAAAACAATATATCTTTAAACATATAAGAGAAAATTTTAGAAAGGACTTAATTTTAAATGAGTTCTTGCTAATTAACCAATTTTACCTATTCTGCACATCATATACATTGCCTATGTATAGTATATGAAGCTATGTACAATGAGCCAATTTTACCTATTCTGCACATCATATACATAGCCTTTGTATAGTATATAAAGCTATGTACCATGAGGCAAATGCAAACACAAGCCATAGTAAAAACCGCATTTACCAGATGTGAAGGTAAGCCTGCCAAGGATGATGCACAAGTGTACCACATTGCTTCACAACTTTGGCAGGCTTCGTGTGATTACTGGTTGAACCAAGCTACTGGTATAATGATGGGGCTTCTGCTCGTTAAATCATTAGCACCTGTTTCGCTGGTGGGGAAGCATACTCCAAATAAAATGTAACATACTCTTAGCATTCCACATACGGGAAGTTTTTATTTTTTTACCAAATGTTATGTTAATATGTTACATTTGATTAGATTAATGTTCATTAACCTAAATTTACATTTAATTAACCGGTATTCACGTTAAAAGTGGGCCTTACGTCTGGCAGGTCAGGTCATATCTTTTCGACCTTTTAGGTTCGTTTTTTCACTAACTTTAAAAAACTGGATGAGCAGTAGTGAGAAGCTGAATATAATTTTCTCATATTAGTCGAACATAATATTAACGTTTAATAAGCTCTCGTAACACTGCAGTATCCCTGGCTGCCTTCAAGAGGACTCGACAAATTCCTGATCAGCCAGGGTGTGGTGCTTACGTCGGACTGCAAGCGGCGGGTATTAATAATCTGTTCGATCAGGCTACAACCCTGTGGCTTGGTCTGGGACCGGGCCACAAGGGAGGTGACCTCAGGAATGGATTGCGTATTCGACAATACTTATAAATAATACAACTCTCATATTCTAATGGTTTTAAACTCACCTATATGTCTGTGTGGACCCATGACGCATAAGAAGGGAAGCTGGTCTGTGCATGGGTGAAGCTGGAACTCTTGGCGTCCTACATGTAGAGCAGCACAGTCCCTATCCCACAGTTTGGGCAGTTCTCGCCACGTCACGAAGTCGCTGGACGCTGGGAAAAAGTCTGTTATGATCTCAGTCCACAGCTGATGCTTGCTATATGTCAAGATTTTCACGGCTATCCATGGAACTTAGGATTATCATGCTAAATTTACCTAAGCATTAATTTGAATTAGTTATGATTGGCATGCAAAGAATATCATGAAATTTAATTATTCATGATGGCATGCCTAGTGTTAGAAGTATTAACACATAAACATAAGTTACAAGTGTATAATAAACAGCCAAAGAAGTTTAAAAGAAAATAATAAATATTGAGCAGGCAAAACAAATACTACGGTGGGTCTCTCACTTCCGATTATTTCTGAAATAAAGTAATGTATGCAACACTTCCATAAATTTATTTAAGAAACTTATCGCCCACCATGAATTTGCATAATAAAAACAACTTAGTGGGCTAAATATTCCTTAAATAAAATGTCCTGAGAGACTGCTTAATAGTCTTGATTGCTGAATGTATTACATAGATGTAATTGCTTTGATGTACAGTATATATTATAGATATGCAAACATTAGACCGAAATCATTCGAATTATTAAATTATTCTGTGTAATTAAATTATTCGAATTAAAAGGCGATGTGTGGTGAGTAAGGTGGACTGGCATGTGGAGAGGATGGATAGTGTAATTAGGTATTGAAATTATTCACTTTCAGGTTTTTAAAGGACAGTGTTTTGATTGTTAATCCAATGTTTTTTTTTTTATTATTATCACACTGGCCGATTCCCACCAAGGCAGGGTGGCCCGAAAAAGAAAAACTTTCACCATCATTCACTCCATCACTGTCTTGCCAGAAGGGTGCTTTACACTACAGTTTTTAAACTGCAACATTAACACCCCTCCTTCAGAGTGCAGGCACTGTACTTCCCATCTCCAGGACTCAAGTCCGGCCTGCCGGTTTCCCTGAATCCCTTCATAAATGTTACTTTGCTCACACTCCAACAGCACGTCAAGTATTAAAAACCATTTGTCTCCATTCACTCCTATCAAACACGCTCATGCATACCTGCTGGAAGTCCAAGCCCCTCGCGCACAAAACCTCCTTTACCCCCTCTCTCCAACCTTTCCTAGGCCGACCCCTACCCCGCCTTCCTTCCACTACAGACTGATACACTCTTGAAGTCATCCAATGTATTTTGCTTACATTATTTGGTTCATGTGTGCCTCAAGAGACATGTTAGGAGGGCTGTTTAATTCTAGTTTTTTTTTTTAACCAAAGTCTATGATCTTATGTTTATGATGTACTGCATTTGGTCTCCTGTGTGTTGTACCTATTTACTTTCCCGTGTATTTGTTGCGAAAAATATTCCTGTAGTATGTTCCTTTTAAATTTTCCGACAAACAGCCGTCATTTATATTCTTCTCCTTAGATTTACGTCCTTAACGTCGTGAATACTTGATTCAGTTTTCTTTTATTAACACATCGGCAGGCAGGGGGACCCGGAAAAGAAGAAACATTTTCATCATAATTCAGTCCATCACTGTCTTGCCAGAGGCGCGCCTACACTACAGTTATAAAATTTCAACTTATTAACACTCCTCCTCAAGAGTGCAGGCACTGTACTTCCCACCTCCAGGACTCAAGTCCGGCTAATCGGTTTCCTTGAATCCCTTCATAAATGTTACCTTGCTTACACTCCAACAGCACGTCAAGTCATAAAAACCATTTGTCTCCACTCACTCCTATATAACACGCTCACGTTTGCTTACTGGAAGTCCAAGCCCCACGCACACAAAACCTCCTTTTTTCCCCTCCCTCCAACCTTCCCTAAGCCGACCCCTATCCCGCCTTCCACTACTGATTTATACACTCTCCAAGTCTTTCTGTTTCGTTCCATGAAGAGGATTTTGCTCATAATTATTGAGCTACTCTCAGTGCAGTTCAAAAGTTGTGGGCATTTTAAAAGAATTTCAACCGCCTGTTTATATTAAACCCCACAAACTGTTACATCCAAGACACTTAAGTGTCTCCAAGTTACTTGAGCTGTACGAAGTACTTAAGCTCTACTTTACAAGAACTGTCCTCAGTGAGAGGCTCCTCTCATGCGAAAGTTTCCCGCAGGAGCTCAATAATCCCTTCACAAAGCTGTATCTTCAGTTTTTAGATTTTGTTCACCTCATCTTCAATAATCTGAGCAAGTAAATGCAGTCAGAGCGTCCTTAGGTTCATACGTTACATAAGTCAGTGTCACTGTCTTTCAGAATCTTCCTTGAATGTTACCTCGATTGTGTTTACGCAGCAAAAACACCAGTGACCAATATTGAATTTAAAATTCTTCATAAATTTAAAGAATTCCCATTCATCTACCTTGGTGCTATTATTGGGATATCAATCTCTCAGCAAACATTACCATTTCTAATAATAATAATAATAATAATAATAATAATTATTATTATTATTATTATTATTATTATTATTATTATTATTATTATTATTATTATTATTATTATTATTATTATAATCTGGTGCTCAAAATTCCCACTATAATAAGAGATTAAAATGGGTGGTCGGAAGGCGAGAGGATTTTTCAGAAAATTACCGCCACTTGGCTACACGCTCTCAAAAAAGGTTCGCTACCTCTTCCCTAGACACTAACACATTAGGCTGTATCTGTTTATAATGTTTATGCCCCGGAGTATTTTGTATGTCATAGTATTCATTTTTTTTTTAATTCGTCTTGTCCAACATCTGTGTCAGTCTAGGATAAGCCTCTGAACTCTCTTGGACATTATTGAATATACTTAGCAAGATGAGGGTTCCACAGTACTGAATACTCAAGAATTATTCTTATGTATGAGGTGTCTAATGTTCAGAAAAATCTCTTGACCTTAATGTTTATTAGCCTTGTTTATGCTTCTCGTGTATTTCAGTGTATGTGTCTTTTGACACTATTTATATTAACAATGATGTTTACTTTTGAGTCCTATTCTGTGGCTGATTTTTTTTTTTTTTTTTTTTTTGCTTCTCCCGGTGGTACGTTGTTTCCATCGCCCGGGTTCGTTACTAACAGGTACTGAGCTCTAATACCCATTTGACTAATTTTCTGAAGCTTGTAAAGGCCTTTTCTAATTTGCAATCGTTCGTCTTTCGTCATTAGTATTACATCATACATAAACACTGGCATGCTGAAAGCCCTTTCAACTGGTGGGTCGAGTCCTGTAGAATGTGAGCATTTAGTTAACAACCTAGAGATTCTGGGAATTTGCTACGCCACTTGCTAGTGTCTCGCTATTGGAACAGAGTCAAAAGATTCCCATGACCTACCAGTAGCCGAATTAATTTAATTGACTTATATTGCTGCTTTATACGACCTTCGTCCAAGTGTTCCTTGACTTTTTAATTTTCTGGCTAATGAATTTTTAACTTTTGTCTTTACCATGTATGTTTTAAGGTCACTACAGTTTCCAGCACTTTCAGATATGCGATTTCCGGAGATGGCACACCAGAAACGCTTAGTAGGTACCATCTTTGGAGTTTGTCAGCTAATACTTTTTATCGTCATGATAGACTGCCTGGTGCTAATTCTGTTTGTTTTTCTTATTATTATTATTATTATTATTATTATAATCAAGGGGGAAGCGCTAAACTTGTCTTTCTTAAAAATGATACAATATTTGCAATTTTTTATTTGGTTAATGGTTCTCTTTTATCAAATATATAAATGCAATCCAGAGTAAGTAAATTTCTCAGAACATTTTGTTCCCAGCTTTATTTTTTACATACAGTTTTCAGTATTTTATCGTTTATCTTCATTTAATTTTTACAAGTTTTAAATTCAAGATTAATAACGTTTGACAGAGTCATAAGCAAGACAATAACATTTAATATTTTTGTGTAGCGCTTAACTCCCGTTGGATATTCAGAGCAGAGTGTTCGAGTCTCGATCCTCCGTCCGCTAATCGTGAGATACAAGCACTACTCTCGCAGCCAACCAAACTGAGGAAGGAATCCTAAAAAAAGAAGACAAAAATTACATGGTATATATCTTGTGATAAAAATCGTAAACTGTGAAGATATAAAAAGTGTAGCAGACGATACACAAAAGTAACAAAAGGCACAAAACTTTTGTGGCTAGAAATAAGACTTTCCACTTAAGAAATCCCATATATTTCAAGAATAAAAAAATATCTAACACAACAATAAGTACAAAGAACCAAACAAAATTATCAGCACCGAACGCAGGGCGTAAACCTGAAATCATGAGATACAGCGCACTGCTAAACCTTCCCTGAGCTGCTGGTCGAACGCTTGAGAAGACAGTTAAGATAACATCAGTGTATAATGAAGATAGTCTGAGGAGAAAACCATGCGAGCAATTGTAAGTTGTGCTTGAGAGAGCCTGTGATATGTGGCTGTGGAAGAGAGAAGATGAGTAGGTATCCGGGGACGAAAGGGGGGAGGGTTGTATACTGTGTACTTGAAAGAGTCCGTAACATGTGGATATGACAGGGAGAGGGAGAGTATCGGTGGGGGTATGGATATTATATGCTTGAAAGAGCAAGTAATTTAAGTATGTGAAAGGAACAAGATAAGAGGATATCTGGAGGATATGGATACAGTGTGCTTAGGAGAGATTATAACATGTGGCTGTGGCAAGAAGAGGAAAGGGTGTATCCGGGGAGTGTGGATACATTGTGTTTGGAAAAGCCTGTGACGTGTGGATGTGGCAGAATGGAGATAAGGCAACCGGGGTGCTGATGCGGTGTGTTTTGACGCCCACCTACAGCTTTTTCCAACAAAATTAGGTGAGCACGCAGCGAGCTGTTACCCTGCTCTATATGATACACTATGGATACAAAAGCATGGTAAATTCCACTGTCATACTCTAACACAAAGAAATAGTTTAATGTGTCAGCCTAAGCTGGGAAACTTCAGCTGTAAATGAGAATATTATCGTGTTATCTACTGTGGTTCATTGATACAGTATAGGAACAATGTTGAGAGTTTTGTAGTTCTGTGTTTCTGCCTTTTCGAGTGTTTGTGTGTGTGTGTGTGTGTTTATGTGTGTGTATGAGCATATGTGTGTGTGTGTGTGTACTCACCTAGTTGTGGTTGCAGGGGTCGATTCATAGTTCCTGGCCCCGCCTCTTTACTGGCCGCTACTGGGTCACTCTCCCCGCACCATGAGCTTTATCATACCTCTGCTTAAAGCTATGAATGGATCCTGCCTCCAATACATCGCTTCCCAAATTATTTCACTTTCTGAGTACTCTGTGACTGAAGAAATACTTCCTAACATCCCTGTGATTCATCTGTGTCTTCAATTTCCAACTGTGTCCCCTTGTCGCTGTGTTCCATCTCTGGAACATTCTGTCTCTGTCCACCTTGTCAATTCCTCTCAGTATTTTATATGTCGTTATCATGTCCCCCCTATCTCTCCTGTCCTCCAGTGTCATCAGGTCGATTTCCCTTAACCTCTCTTCGTAGCACATACCTCTTAGCTCTGGGACTAGTCTTGTTGCAAACCTTTGCACTTTCTCTAGTTTCTTTACGTGCTTGGCTAGGTGTGGGTTCCAAACTGGTGCCGCATACTCCAATATGGGCCTAACGTACACGGTGTACAGGGTCCTCAACGATTCCTTATTAAGATGTCGGAATGCTGTTCTGAGGTTTGCTAGGCGCCCATATGCTGCAGCAGTTATTTGGTTGATGTGCGCTTCAGATGTGCCTGGTGTTATACTCACCCCAAGATCTTTTTCCTTGAGTGAGGTTTGTATTCTCTGGCCCCGTAGACTGTACTCCGTCTGCGGTCTTCTTTACCCTTCCCCAATCTTCATGACTTTGCACTTGGTGGGGTCGAACTCCAGGAGCCAATTGTTGGACCAGGTCTGCAGCCTGTCCAGATCCCTTTGTACTTCTTCCTGGTCCTCGTCCGATTGAATTCTTCTCATCAACTAAACATCATCTGCAAACAGGGACACTTCGGAGTCAATTCCTTCCGTCATGTTCACAAATACCAGAAACAGCACCGATCTTAGGACTGACCCCTGTGGAACCCCACTTGGCACAGGTGCCCACTCTGACACCTCGCCACGTACCATGACTCGCTGCTGTCTTCCTGATAGGTATTCCCTGATCTATTGTAGTGCCTTCCCTGTTATCCCTGCTTGGTCCTCCAGTTTTTGCACTAATCTCTTGTGTGGAACTGTGTCAAACGCCTTCTTACAGTCCAAGAAAATGCAATCTACCCACCCCTCTCTCTTATGTCTTACTGCTGTCACCATGTCATAGAACTCCAGTAGGTTTGTGACACAGAATTTCCCGTCCCTGAAACCATGTTGGCTGTCGTTGATAAGCTGATTTCTTTCTAGGTGTTCCACCACTCTTTTCCTGATAATCTTCTCCATGACTTTGCATACTATACATACGATATATGTGTGTATGTATGTGTGTGTGTGTGTGTGTGTGTGTGTGTGTGTGTGTGTGTGTGTGTGTGTGTGTGTGTGTGTGTGTGTGTATGTGTGTGTGTGTAAACCCCGCATTGTAATCTTTATAGAGAATAAACTTGATTAATTGATTGATTTTTAGATTTATAAAATATTTACGTGTACCATATTACCAATTAGCTTATCAAGTTTAAAGTCTATCTACTGCACGTGTGTCAATAAGGTTGCATGTCACCTGTACTCTAGCTCCCAAGAATACTTTTAACCTCAAAATAGGGATTACAGAACACTATGTATGTATACTGAGAGATGAATATCTGTCTATGTATATCCTGTGACAATTTAAATGTATAATACTCATAGTCAGTATTAAACTTATATTTTTAAATTTGTAATTAAATTCTGATACCATTTAGTCTGAAGAAATACTTTATAAGTATAATAAAAAATGTAATAAAGTATATTAAATAAGTTACTTAGTAATAACTGAGAAATATGAAGGAAAATATACATAGGTACAGCTTACAGTTATTCAGTTGAAGCTCTGAAGATACTGTTAAAAGTTATGAAGTTATGAAATAATAACTCACAGCTCTACACAGTTTCAAAGCAACAGTGTAAGACATAAAACAGTGTAAGACATAAAACAGTGTAAGACATAAAACAGTGTAAGACATAAAACAGTGTAAGACATAAAACAGTGTAAGACATAAAACAGTGTAAGACATAAAACAGTGTAAGACATAAAACAGTGTAAGACATAAAACAGTGTAAGACATAAAACAGTGTAAGACATAAAACAGTGTAAGACATAAAACAGTGTAAGACATAAAACAGTGTAAGACATAAAACAGTGTAAGACATAAAACAGTGTAAGACATAAAACAGTGTAAGACATAAAACAGTGTAAGACATAAAACAGTGTAAGACATAAAACAGTGTAAGACATAAAACAGTGTAAGACATAAAACAGTGTAAGACATAAAACAGTGTAAGACATAAAACAGTGTAAGACATAAAACAGTGTAAGACATAAAACAGTGTTAAGACATAAAACAGTGTAAGACATAAAACAGTGTAAGACATAAAACAGTGTAAGACATAAAACAGTGTAAGACATAAAACAGTGTAAGACATAAAACAGTGTAAGACATAAAACAGTGTAAGACATAAAACAGTGTAAGACATAAAACAGGTTAAGACATAAAACAGTGTAAGACATAAAACAGTGTAAGACATAAAACAGTGTAAGACATAAAACAGTGTAAGACATAAAACAGTTAAGACTAAACAGTAGACATAAAACAGTGTAAGACATAAAACAGTGTAAGACATAAAACAGTGTAAGACATAAAACAGTGTAAGACATAAAACAGTGTAAGACATAAAACAGTGTAAGACATAAAACAGTGTAAGACATAAAACAGTGTAAGACATAAAACAGTGTAAGACATAAAACAGTGTAAGACATAAAACAGTGTAAGACATAAAACAGTGTAAGACATAAAACAGTGTAAGACATAAAAACAGTGTAAGACATAAAACAGTGTAAGACAAATAAAACAGTGTAAGACATAAAACAGTGTAAGACATAAAACAGTGTAAGACATAAAACAGTGTAAGACATAAAACAGTGTAAGACATAAAACAGTGTAAGACATAAAAACAGTGTAAGACATAAAACAGTGTAAGACATAAAACAGTGTAAGACATAAAACAGTGTAAGACATAAAACAGTGTAAGACATAAAACAGTGTAAGACATAAAACA